GTAAGCTTAGATATTAATGCAATCCTTAAAGGCAGCGATCAATTTTGATTCATTTTGTAGTTTATTGTTGCCTATAGCATACGGCAGCAGTATGCCTTGCAAAAAGAAGATCAACTTGTTACAGTTTTTTGTGTATATATTTACATAACTAGTGAGTGAGTCAAAATGACTTAATTCCCTTTATAGTCTACCAATAGAAGGTTGACCAATCAGAAACCGCAGAACACTGTATCCGTCGTGTATAAAGGCGGCCATCTCTGTTTTCCTACCGGAATGACCAGAGCCAACTTGTCAGGCGAACATGACAGACGAAAGAACTACGCTCTGTTACTTTGCTGGGATATTCACTGCGAACCTGCACTACGCTTTCCTACTGTCTCCGAAATATTCACTGCCAACCTCTGGATTCTATACTCGAAGACGACCGTCAAAATGTCTAACACAACTTACAATCAAAAGAGCCAGGGCTGCAGCGAGGGAAAGAAAGCCCCTGTGCAAATGAAAACCCAGATCAAACGTCAGCCTGGAAAGCTTCCAAATGCTGAGATTATGCAAAGACTTAGGAACTCTGAAATTTTCTAAACAAGCCGATGGTCCAATCAAGAGCTCTCCGCTGTAGCTAGTTTAAATGCCTTTAAGCTAGTAATTTATATATTCCGTTTGAAAATACTTTTTTCAATAAAAAAAAACAAAACTGTTTTCTCATTCATTTGTAATCTGATCTTATGTGATCTCTATAAATAGGAAATTCTTTACCTGTCGGTTTTTATAATTAAACTGATTTGATATTCAAATGAAGTCATTTTATGACCTGAAAGTCGAAATGACTGGCTGAATGTAAAGAGAAGTAAACATTTTAGACATTTGTGAAAAATATATTTTGAAAATCGAGGAATTATAGCATACCGTATGTAAAATAAAGAGACTGGCGATTTTATTTTTCACCCTATTGAACTGTTTCAACGGCGACATCTCGAATAGAATTTTACGGTACATGAAAATGCCTCAAACGAAGTAGTATTGCGTAGGAAATTAAAACACTCGGCGTATTGTATAGATAGCTCAAATGATAGACAGAGAGATAAATATGTCTATCATGATGCGGAAAAACGGACTGACTTCCAAAATCAGTATCCAAAACGCAGTGTTTTAACAGGACACGAATGGCTACACTTGGAGATATGTAATGAATTGATCTATATCTATAAAGGGCAGGATGTGTGTGTGTGTATGTGTGTGTGTGTAACGAATGCACGGCCGCAATTTTCGACGGATTTGCACCAAAATTTACATGCACACGCTCCAAGTTAGCGGGAAGGCCAAGACCGACATTGCATTTCCCAACTCCCATCGATAGTGGAAATAATCGATTTTTTTTCATGCTTCTACGGCAGTTTTCATGTAGTTTGCGGCCATTTTCTACTGACCAGAGTGAGCGCCTATAGCTGGCTGCCACAAATAGGCAGGAAGATTCTCCTTGGCCAGCGTGAGAGCCAACAGCTGACTGACACGAATGTTAACTAGCATGATGTTGTGGAGTGATTTCACAGTGGAGGCTTGTATTTGTACTAAGTCGATCCTAAAATAGGTTCGACGTACAAAACGTTAGGAACTTGATATAATAGGTATAACACAGACTAATTTAGTTGTGGTCGCTGACTACTTTCGTATTCGACTAACTGTCGTCTGACATCGACTGACTCACTGTCTGACTCGTTATTCTTACTACTCCTACTTATTATGGTGGGAGAGTTTATTAACTATAGAATAGGTGTGTTCCACTATAACACATGCTAGCATGCAAAAAAATCGATAACTGCATTCGTTACAAGTGGGAAAAAGTTAAATCTGCATGGCACTTTACTCCAATTGGCTCATTCGCTTGCTTAAACTCAACGTTGATTCTGATTCCGCAGAACTGGGTTTGGGTGTGAAAAAGTATTTGTTGTTAACATTATTTTTCATTCGGTTTTTCCAGTTACGAGTCCTTTTTTAAAGCTGATCGTTTTGTGTTCATTTTTAGTTATTTTTTCGTAGCAGATTTAATGTTTAGTATAGAGCTTAGAAAAAAATCGCTGTGTGAGATAGGCAAGAAGTAATGCATGTAGCAACATCAGCACGGAAAAGGGCACTCCTTTAAAGGCAAGGAAGGGCAAAAAAGGTTTTAAGTTAAGTGATAGGGGTTGCTGTATGAGTCGTACGATTTTTGAATCAAGCATGGGTAACGCCGTGCCATGCTGCTAGTTATTATTATATGACAACGGTGAAAGAACATACATATAAAAGAATCATGAGAAAATTGTTCTAGCACATATTTACAAGTCTATCGTGGCCGAGTGTTTCAACGTATTGGCATTGTTTGTCACAGATTATGCAGTTTCTTTCCTAAGCATAATCTCCATATCTACCAGAGGCCATATTCTATGGGTGTTGCGTAAAGACAAATGTGCTCTAGCAGACGGATGTGACCGTAAAATGTGTGGCGCCCAATTTATCTTCTGACGAGTGGATGGGGTGATTGCTTGAGGGTCCGTCTACAAAAAATTTAGAGTCGGAATCTTGAAGGTAACGTTCATCTAGGTGACAAATTTTATATTCTTTTTGTATTAATCATATATATATATATATATATATGACGACCTGACGATTGCGTCTATCATGAAACAGCCTGTCACCTCTGGGTGTTGACTTCAATGTTCACATTTATATTTATAATTACATACGCTATGTTTCTGATATTGAACACTTTATCCCATATATATAACACACCTTAAAACTATATTTCTGTATATATATATATATATATATATATATATATATAGTGGTAACAATATAGGGGAAAACAAATATTCGTACACAGGCAAATTTTTAATTCATTGTATTTCCAACTAATGAATAAACATACTTTTCATATAATTAACTGTACACAGATTTTAATAAGTGAAAAAGTATTCGTACAATGCGAATTTCAGATTTAAAAACTTTCAAATTGCTTTAATACTCTAGATTATTCAAGAGAAATATTCTAGAATATTGCAATGATATTATCAGTAGTTATTTTTAGCCCCAAAATACAAACAGAACATTCTGTAATTGATATTCGTGCAAAAAGGTTTTCATCATGGCAAGAGGTAAAGAATTGTGAAATTCGCGAAAAAAAACAACAACTGATTGTTAAGCCGTGGAAAGCGTGGGACCTAGATGCTAATCTAAGAGCACATTTAAATTCATGTATTCGGGTACCTGGGGAAAAAAACCGTCAGTGCAGTTACGATTCAAACTGAAAAAAAAAAAACACTTTGTCGGCAAAAGGAGAGGTTCGTTCACGATCAAACTGAAAAGACCAGCTCTTTGCCAACAAAAGAAGATGAACTATTTGCCTGAAAAAGGAGTGGTTCGTTAGTTTCCTTCTTCTTTTGGGAGAATATTATTTTTTATTTACTCCCCTGATCTATTTCTAGTGATTTAAAGGTTTGTTAATCAATGTTATTCGTTTTTAACCTTACGTGTTGAATTGCTTTTCTAAATTTGATTAAAACGATTCTAGATTTTAATCATCCGCCATTTTTATTCATCCATTTAGTTCCGTAAATTGTATTTTGGGGTTCCTGTTAAAAAATAATAAGATTTCGCCAAAGATTTTTTCTGATGAAGGTTTGGCAGGAAAGGTTCCCAAGATATTCCACCTCCCATTTTTACTATTAAGGTGCTTACATCAGTTCTATTTAAGGAGATAATTAGATTTTGTAGTATTGTTTAAATATATATATAAGATGAAAAAGAATTGGAAAATACAAAAGGTGTCTTTAAGAATATTTTATTACCGATTGCACAGTTCTATGATTTTCAAAAGTTAAATTGATATGGAGGGGGAAGTAGCTATGATATGTCTCGCAATTCATTATTTTTAGCCGTGTGAGATATATTGAGAAAATTACTTTCTGATATATATATATATATATATATGTCGTCACACATTATGAAATGGTCAAAGTCCGCCAATTATTTTAAGACATTTTTTATGTTTATACGTTCTTTTATAGATACAAATATTTAAGTAAATTCTCTGTTTATAATAAACAGTATTAACAACATTTACCAGCCTGAACGTCCGAGAAATTTACATAGAAAATATTCGTCCATCCACAGGAATCGAACCTGTATCCTATACGGAACTGACGTGCTTTTACCGATTGAGCCACAGAGGAGCGTTTCGGTTAGTAAGGTCGTTTTTACTGTTTTTAAACTGCAATTCTCCATGATTTTCTCTCGTACACTCATATCTGCTAGATGCGTATCCAAATGTAAACAAATGACGTCACGCATTATGAAATGGACAAGATCTACACTGAAATGTGTGACGTCATTTTTATCTATAAAAGGAACGTATAAACACAATATATATATATATATATTAAGAAATGGACAAAGTCCGATAATTTATTTATTAAAGACATGTTTAACGTTCTTTTTATAGATACAAGTATTTAAGTAAATGCTCTGTTTATAATAAACAGTATTAAATAACATTTACTGAATGTCCGAGAAATTTTCATAGAAAATATTCGTCCTTTGACAGGATTCGAACCTGCATCCTATACGGAACCGTCATTTACGCTGACGTGCCTTGACCGCTCGGCCACAAAGGATTGCTCAGTTGGCAAGATTGAATTTACTGCTTATAAATTTCAATCTTCCATGAATCTCGTACATTCATAACTGCTCATGGCGTATCAAATGTAAACAAATGACGTCATATATTAAGAAATGGACAAAGTCCGACAATTTATTTATTAAAGACATATTTTTTTATGCTTAACATTCTTTTTATAGATACAAATATTTAAGTAAATTCTCTGTTTATAATAAACAGTATTAAATAACATTTACCAGCCTGAATGTCCGAGAAATTTTCATAGAAAATATTCGTCCGTATAGGATGCAGGTTCGAAACCTGTCAAATTTTCATAGAAAATATCCCCCCTTTGAAGCTACATCAAAGCACCTGGTATTTCCAAGCGGCCACCCATCTAGGTACTGACCAGGCTTGATGTTGCTTAACTTCGGTGATTTTTCGGGAATCGGTATTCCAACGTGATTTGGCCGTAAGTATTACCGAAGGAATACGAATGCGAATGAGGAGAAATTGACCCTGTGTATGTAGTCTACTGGGTTTAGGCTGTAAAGATCTGAACTTGTGATATCACGTAATATGGCTCTTTCTAAGTATTTCCCATTGAAATTAACAATGAAGTAGAGATGAACTAACAACATTTACGCTAAGAGAAACGAGCAGTGGGATGACAAATAATCCATCGCCTATAAGGCCGCGTTAACGCTTTTTTAACCCTTTTAATGGTTTGAATGCGATGTAACAAGAATCTATTTTTAATCTAATCTGACTCTTTTAATGGGAGAGTAAATGTTTGGACACTTACCGTATTTGACGGCATATAAGACGTACGGGTGTATAAGACGCACCCAATTTCAGCAGGGCAAATCAAGAAAAAAAATGAGTAAATGTTACAGCCTAGGCTATATTTATGAGGTATTATTTTGGTTACACAAGCCATGATTACAATTAAATGAAAAATAATAGGAAAAAAAGAACACGACCCTATAAAAACTTTATTATATCCTTTATATGATCTGTACAACTTGCGTCTTGTAAACGTCTTCTTGGAATAGTGATTTTCCAAGCGTAGCTTAGACGTAGCACAAGGCCGAAAGTATGGGGCACACAATGAGGATCGTACTCAAAACTCAGTCGTAATTGTTCTAGCAAGAGAAGCTAGCTAACCATTGCACCGTTTCGTGGTGCCCAGTGATTTCCAAGCGTAGCTTAGATGTGGCACAAAGCCGAAAGTATGGGGCACCCAGTGAGGATCGAACTCAATACTCAGTCGTAATTGTTCTAGCGAGACAAGCTTGCTAACCATCATACCGACTTGAGGTGCCCAACGTTCGATTGGAATAATTAGAATATAAAAATTCTGATTGTATTTATACCAATGCAACTAGAAGTTATCGCAAGAAAAATATTAATGAAACAAATATATTTTACAAATATATAATTTGAATTTATTGAATATAATTTTAGTGAAGCAAAGTAATAATATTAAATGTGATGAAATTAATATAATGAATATTATCAATGATAACATTTTTAATCTACATAACAGCCTTTTAAATAATGGCAAAAGGTATATAAAAGTTATTCTAAAGTTTAAGCTAATAGGAATTGCCAGGTAGCTAATTTCGGCCAGATATCGCGAATTTGGAAGCACGGTGGAGTAATAGATAAGTGGCTCGGGTTGAAGAATCGGAGAGCCGAGTTCGAATTCCAGTCGAATCCATTACATTCACTGACGTACTAATACCCTTGGGAAAGGTATGAATTCTCTTCTTCCACCCCTCCAACTGTGAGTAAATAGTTAGGTCAGACCGGGTTCTATAGCCTTGCATGGCAACTTGTCTACCGCAGAAAGAAATGGCAACCTACTGAGGGAAGAAATCTGCCTCGTCAGTCATGTATCGAAAGATACATGATCGCCTAATCGTGTGTCACGCATGGCACATAACTGACTAATGACAAATTTTAAACCTACATATGGCATATAAGACCCAGGGGAATTTTGAATGATATTTTTAGTAAAAAAAAAAAAAGTGCGTCTTATATGCCGTCAAATACCTTAAACAAAAATTTGATGATGCTTTTAAATGTTCGTTCTATCTTTATTTTTATTTATTTATTTATTTATTTTGTCTTCTTTTCGTTCGTCTGACAATATGGACATTCACTGGCATCCACAGTGTGTTTCCTGCTATGCTTCAATCCGATGCTAACCTTATTACGTAAATCTATCAATAATGCGATTCCTCGAGAAATATCTCTGAAATCTTTTTTGTTTCATTTCTCAGCTGTGATTTAATTTCTCTGGGGACTTAGCTTTATAGAAGTCGAACTATTTTTAAATTTCCAAATGATATTTTCCGAAGATTTCTTCAAATTAAATGAAGTGGCGGTCAACTGACATAAAAAAAAAGATATTCACGATATAGCTAGTTCATAAATAAAGTCATACATAAATGAATAAATATTGATTTTATTATTGAAATCCGATAATTAGTTTAGATTTCGTAGAGTTTAAAAATCATGGCTTACTTCACCAGACTTTCATCTCAAAAGTGTGTACCTACACACCGAAAGCCTCTACTTAAAAAAAAAAAGCAAATCGATTTTGAAGAGATAACATTATTCATTATATAAAGTATTCAGAGATAAAATTTACATAATATATTGATTTCATTCACTCTAATAATTGCGCGCTTTCGTGTAATTTCGGGGAATCTAGTCTAGATTTTTTTCCTCAGTTGTCGTCTTACCAAAGATGAGTCTGAGAACACTGAAATCACGCTGTATAGCAAAGCACATTATTCGTAGATTATCTCGCTTTTAGTCAATGGTCATCCAGTCGCTTTCTTCTAATGTTTGTTACTGAAGTGAATTTAGTACTGAGTCGTTTCTCTTCTTGTGTTGACTCCGTTACAAATTTCAATCTGAAGACTGTTATGAATAATCAAGAGTGGTCTCTCCTTGTTTAGTTACTCTCCTCTTTGATCCCAGCATAGACACAACCATATTAACCTCGATTCAAACAATATTAATATTTATCTATAGACTCCAGCATAAACACAACCATATTTACCTCCACTCAAAGACAAACAATATTAATATTTATCTATAGACTCCAGCATAAACACAACCATATTTACCTCCACTCAAAGACAAACAATATTAATATTTATCTATAGACTCTAACATAAACACAACCATATTTACCTCCACTCAAAGACTAACAATATTAATATTTATCTATAGACTCCAGCATAAACACAACCATATTTACCTCCACTCAAAGACAAACAATATTAATATTTATCTATAGACTCCAGCATAAACACAACCATATTTACCTCCACTCAAAGACAAACAAATTTAATATTTATCTATAGACTCCAGCATAAACATAACCCATTTTTACCTCCACTGAAAGAGAAACAAAATTAATATTTACCTATAGATACCAGCATAAACACAACCATATTTACTTCCACTTAAAAACAAACAAAACTAATATTTATTTATAGACTCTAGCAAAGAGCCATCCAATGCTTACCTATAGATTGAAGCATAAACCCGACTAAATTTTGACGACAGACAACAACAACAATTATTTAACTCGACTCAACACGTCTTCAGATCTCAGTGCCGCATTTTCCGCCCTCTGTTAAAACTCTTCATAGATATTTAAATGTTCATACTTGTTCGATTTTGGTATCTCTGACTTGGAAGGAAATACAATTGCGGCCAAAATGTTCAGAACGGCATTGTTTTCGTCAGAAAAGTAGATGTAATTTTTTCATCAATATTGGTTTTGTAGAATAACAATAATAAACAGCACTTACCGGCGTAAAGGTCCCAGTTAGCGTCCAGCTGGCAGACAAAAATAAAGCAGGTTGTAACTTAATACAAACCGTGCAAACTAACTGATGAATCAAGCTGGTATTTAAATAGAAATACCTCCACTCAGGTACCAGCAGCCAATCACAGCCCAAGCAAAGGACTATCTCACTTTAGCACAATGAGATGCTCCATTGCACCATAAGGTTTCTAAAGGTTGGATTATGATTCACTTAGCTTGCTCCACAACTGAGTGCTTATCTCTACCACGTGATTTTTCTACAGTTTTATATTCTATAATTTTCACAGACGATAAATACGATATTATTTGTTATTGTCTGAGATTTTGGTGTAATTTGAGAGGATAATACAAAAGTTATGGATGATTTAGTGATTTACTGTAAAACCCATGACGGCCAAAATATCAAAACGGTTGCTTTTACTCCGTGTTTTAGTATATTTCACCGGCAAACTTTAGTTTTTTTTTTAATATGTTTACGTGACGGTTCGTTTACTAAACATTAGTAAGAATTTCGGCAGTGTACTTTGTTAATCTAATACCACTTACTCCGTTACCAATTCGTCGGCAGATTATTAAGCTTCGAAAGATGGATAATTTAAGTATTGGGTCTATTGCAAAGATTGTTAACAAGTCAAAAAGTGTTCTTCACGGTATTCTTAAGGTCTACGATGATTGTGGTCCGTGTGAAGCAAGAAAGTCTACAAGAAAAACGACCAACAGAGAAGATCGTTCTATGGTAAAGTTGGTTAAAAAGGACAGATTTAAAACTGCTGCTGCTGTTTCTCGGGAAATGAGCATTGTACTGAAGAAAACTTTATCTCGAAAAACTCTGTCTCGTCGTTTAGTTGAACATGACCTACAAGCAAGAGCACCTGCAGTGAAGCCACTGATCAGGTCCAAGAATAAAACGTGTCGTCTTACCTTTGCAACCGAACATGTGTTGTGGTCTCAAGAAAAATGGCAAACGGTGCATTTCAGAGATGAATCTAAGTTTATGTTATTTGGCTCAGATGGGAAAACGTACGTTCGTCGAAAAGTAAGTGAAAAATTGTCGCCTAAATGCCTTAAGACTAGTGTTAAATTCAGTGGAGGAAGTGTCATGGTTTGGGGGATGATATCTGGAGATGGTGTGGGCCCTTTGGTGCGATTACATGGAAAGGTAAATGCAGGAGTTTATAAACAACTTGTAAAAAGATCATGTCTTGCCTGTGCTGAAATTCAACTAAGCGACCACCCATATTCATGCAGGACAATGCCCCATGTCACAAGGCTAAGGTGGTCATGAACTTCCTCAAGGCTGAAAAGGTTATTGTTATGGATTGGCCTGCTCAAAGCCCGGTCTCAATCCTATTGAAAATGTGTGGAATATTCTAGGAGAATGTTCAAAAGCCAGAAATCCTAAAACAACCGAGCAATTATGGAATGCCCTTCAGGCAGAATGGAATAATATCACCGAGCAAGAATTTGAAAATTTAATTTCCTCATGCAGTCGAAGATGTCAAATTGTGATTGAAGCTAAAGGGCTTCACACTAAATATTAAATAATTAAATAATTAAATAATTAAATAATTAAATAATAATTAAATAATAATTAAATAATTAAATAATTAAATAATTCCAGTA